ATGTCCCATTAGAGTCTATCTAGTCTAGTGGTGGAATCTCAAACACTATAATTAATGTGACATCTCTCATGAAATTTGACACTTTTATTAAACTATTTGACACTTTTATTAAACTATTCTGCTCCTGTATTACTTCTAACTCACTTTTCATCTTATGTCTATTTTCAACCCTTTTTTACTCTCTCCTCATCTTTTTCTATTATTTAGATTTCTTTTCAAAACCTCACACACACACACGCTCTAATTAATCACACGGTGTATCATCATTTTTTCATTTTTTAAAATATAGAGGGTATCTCTTTTCTTCTGATAATTTACAAAATTAAAGTAAAACTTTTAAAATTATAAGGAAGATAAAACTAAAAAATTAAAAAATATTAAATTAGTGATGCAATAACAATAAGTTGTCGCTTATTACTAAAATTAGTCTAATAATTAAGTGAAAAGGAATTATAGTAACTAGAAATATGCAGACTTAAATTCAATCTTTGTTATGATCATCTTTGTAATTTTTTTTATTTTTAATTAAAAAAATAAATTGTGGCTTAGAGACATAAAGCAATAGGGCTCAAAACTAGTTGTCCTTTGCCTCTCTTTGTCTTCCACATGGGCCTACACGTGTCAGTGCCTATCTAGCTTTGGGCCGACCTAGTTCCATCTTTACCTAAAAATCATAATGAATCATAAAGTTAATATTTAATTATAATTTTTAAATCCACTGAATAACACGTGTAAACATTGTACAAGGGAATATGTGCATGTAAGAGTGCTGTTGAGTGTTGACTCAGTTCCTTCATTCCTTTTTATTTTTTTATTTAGTAAAATTGTATTTTTTAATTTAATTTTTACTTTCAAATTTTAATATAATATTAATTACTCTTTTTCAATTATATCTTTATAGTTTATTTTATTTTTAACTAATTTATATATGACAAATAATATATATTTATTATACAATAAAAATAAAAATAAAAGTATAATAAAAAATATCAAAATCATTCTATTAAAAATAAAGATATTTATTATGTTTCTTACTTTGTGTATAATAATCTTAAACGATTATTAAAATGAGATAGAAGTAGTACTTTTTATATAATGTTAATTAGAGATATTTCTCGATGGATGATAAGAGACCAATTTATTATAAAACAAAAATTATTGAAATGAGTTTTATTTCTTTCAATGAAATCTTCTTTATACACATAGTTAGATAATCAAACTTCTTTCAATATGTTTTAGGAACTTAGTTATATACTCTTTCTGCTCGTTTTTACTTGTCGCTTTTTAGTAAAATGTTATTTTATTTATTTATTATTTTTAAATTTCAAGATAATATTAATAATTTTTTGTCATTTATATCTTTATATTTTATTTAAATTTTAATTAATTTACACTTGACAACAAATATAAATTTATTATGGAGTAAGAAATGATAGAAGATATAATAAAAAATATCAAATTGAAATATGGAAAATAGAATAATTTATTACATTTATTAGTTTGTGTATAACAATCCTAAACTACTATTAGGCAAGTATGATGGTAGTACCAACTATGTTGAACCTTGTTAATACATGTCATAAACTTGTTAGATTTGACATCTCAATGACCTTATTCCACAACACTTCAAATGATACCATTTCACACAATTTTTCATTGGGCATAACCTTTTATCGATTAAAATCCTCTATGAGAAGTCATTTCAAAAATGTTTGACAACCTTTAGGATCAACGATTGTCCCCCAAAACTAATGTAAGACTTTTTAACATACTTTATTCTTATTTACACGCTTTCTATGAAACTTTTTTGAAGGTTACACATCCTTAAATTGCTTCAAGTTAAGCATAGTTAGTTGTGGAGTTCTTAAGTGATAAACTATTAAAAAGTATATATATATTATTGGTACAATCAATACTAATTAATTCCTTTAAGTCATCTACAACCACACAATCTCATACCTCTACAAATCACTAGCTTATGCTTAGTTTGTTTCTAAATCGCATCATATATGAAGAGATGATCTACTTTGATATCATTTGTAATACTTTCAAATTTGACATTTTAGTGGTTCCACTTCACACGATAACACTTCACACAACTACTCATTGTAATTACACAAAGTAACACAAACTTTTTCAATGTATTTTGTCCTAAAAAAAATAAATCTCATTCAAGTTTTAATGTAAATTATTCTAGAGATTATTTTTCAATGATAACATTTTTAGAGTTTTTTTTCAACATTTTTTTAGATATCAATAATTAAAATAATATTATATTAAAATATAAATTATTTATTATAAATCTAAAATATGTTTATATATCTAAAAATATTTATTTATTATAAATTTTAATTATAATATAATTTATATATTAATAAGTATTTATTTATAAAAAAAATTTATATTTATATAAAATAAATATTTATCTTGTGTATCATGTATGTAAAAATATTAATTTATAAAAAAAAAACAACAAATCCTATACTAATTGCTAATACCCAATTTTATCTTTTTTTTTGGAAAAAAATTATAATAGTGAATAATTTATTCTATATATTAAGTACAAATGATTGTTATATGCTTTTTAAGAGTTTTATTTAAAGAGATAATTTTTAGAGATTCTTTTAACTTGTTATAATTTATATCTATCAATATAAAATAAATTATCAATAATTAAAAATTAATCTTACCTCAAAATATAAATTATTTATCATAAAATTTAAAATATAAATTATTTATTTAAAAATATCTCTTTATAATTTTTTAATATAATATAACTTGTATATTTAAATATAAGATATATATATATATATATAATTTATTATTAAGTTTAATCATATATAATAAATATTTAATATAAAAACAAACTAAAATACAACTTCAACCGATTCATGTAGGCCAACTAATAAAACGATAACTTAATCTAAAAACAAAATAAAGGGGAAAGCGAATTTGAAAGGAAATGGTGACCTCTTTGCTAAGTAATCACTGTGCTATCTCCTATTCATGCAAACATTTTTTCACAATTCACCCAACACCGATTGATCTTAATCAGTATTTTAGTATTTACAATATATAATTTAAATATTTATCATGTATAATTATTATTTATAATCAATTATATAAAAATATTTTAATTTGTTCAATATACAAATAAATTTATTATATATAATATATTTAAAATTTATATATAATATATTATATATAAAAAATACCATATTTAAATATATAAATTATATTTAAAATTAGTGTATATTAATATTTTAAAATATATAAATTATGGATCTGTCCATTTAAACTTAAAAATGAGTTTTTTTTAAACAAGTGTTTTTAAAGAAAGCAATTTTTTAAGAAAGAGATAGAAATTGCTTCTTAAAAAAAAACAACAAACTGCTTATTTTAAAAGAAGTTTAGACAAACACATAAAAAAAAATAACAAAAAGGCTTTTAGAGAAAAAAATTTAAAAAAACAGTTCACGTGTTTTAAATTTATGATAAATTATTTGTATCGTAGTAAAATAATTATTTTTTATTTATTGATAATTTAATTTAAAATATTAATATTTAATTCATGAATAATTATGATAAATAAAAATTGAATTAGATAAAAAGTTAAATTTTTTTTTTTACAAATTTTCTTGTTGAAGATAAACCTCTAAAAACAGTACTGTCGAAAACATAGTTTAAATAGGGGTTGTTATAATTTATATAGAAAAATATATTATGTTTGAATATATAAATTATATTTTACATTTATGATAAATAATTTGTATTGTGATAAAAAAAAATTATTTATTAGTAATTTATTTTAAAATATTAATACTTAATTTATAAATAATTATTGATAAATAACAATTGAATTTGATAAGAAGTGAAGAAAATCTCTATAATCCTCTTATTAAAGAAAAGTCCCTAAAAATATTCTTGTAAAATAGATATTCATGTTTAATATATAGGGGTTGAAAGTTGATAAATATTGTAATATAAGATTTTTATTTATTTATAATTGATTTTAAAATATTAAAATTTAATTTATAAATAATTATGTAAATAAAAGCTAAATTAGTTAAGACATCATGATAGGTATAGTGAGAAAGGGTCCATGCTTTAATGAATTTTAATGTAAATGCTTCTTATTATTAATATAATATTATTTAATAAATAAAAAAAACTTCTTATCATAACTGCCATAGAATTGTAGATTGAACTACAAATCTCAATCATAAATAATTTAAATGATTGAACTATTAGGACCAACCTAATAGAGTGAATAACATCTTAAGTTTCAATTTGATATTGTGAATGTAATTTTAATAGATAAGAAAAAATAATTTAAATAATTGTAATTTTTCGTTTCTTAAAAAAAAAAAAAGCAAAAGTTGTCATTTGTATCTACAATTTTTAAATTAGCTGAGCTCATATGCTTAACTTGTATCTAAGGTGGTTTTGCTCACTAGAGAGAAAGCATTTTTTTATATACTAAAACTTGTAAATACAAGAATAGGAAACAGAATGAGAAATATCTGCAATTGACATATGTTTTTTAAGATAGAGCTTGTATACCTGCATGTAGCTAAAGTTAAGTTTGGTTCCAAGAGAGAGAAACACTTAGAAAATAACAAAGGAAGCTGTTACCTACCCTCATGCCGCAAAATGAATGAGCATATTATCAAATAGTTTGAAGTCCGCATAATATTCTTAGATAAATATAATCAGTTCAAATGATATAGAAATAAATATTTATTTTATTATTTTATACAGGACTAATAGTTGTTATTTTTTTCTTCTTCCCCTCTAGTTTCCCTCTTTATCAACAATCAAATTAACTGATTTAAAGATCTCTTTTAACAAAATGATATCAGTTAAGATTCTATAACAAGGATAAAATAAAGATAAACAAATTTTATTCTGAAACACCGACTAATAAGCATTTAAACTTGAGCATAATTCTAGTATATAAAGATAGCTACTTCCTAGAATTCACAACACATTTTACAGATATGGCTCCTTTGAAAACTTTTGTGTGCATTTGTTTTCTTAGCTTGTTCTTGTATGGCATCAATGCCGTTAAAGTCACTCATGATGGAAGAGCCATCAAAATTGATGGGAAGAGGAGGGTGCTAATATCTGGATCAATTCATTATCCTAGAAGCACACCTGGGGTATTATTCCTTTAACATTTGTTCTTTGAATGTGTTCTTTTGTTTATCTTTCATGATATTAATTATTAGTTAACATTTTTTATTTTATGTACATTAGATGTGGCCTGATTTGATTAAAAAAGCAAAAGAAGGAGGGTTAGATGCTATTGAAACATATGTTTTCTGGAATGCACATGAACCTGTTCGTTGCCAATATGATTTCACTGGCAATAATGATCTCATTAGATTTCTCAAGACCATTCAAGATGAAGGACTTTTTGCTGTGCTTCGCATTGGCCCCTATGTCTGTGCTGAATGGGATTATGGGTACTTAACTTTATAACTTCATATCACTTCACCCTTTCATATTTTTTAAAAATTGACAAAACTTAAATACAATTTTTTAATATAGTTGATACTATTTTTTTAATAGAATTAGAGTCTTACTTTAATATTATATACTCTGCCTTAAATACCAATTACACTTAATAAACTGTATGAAAATTTTATCCTTTAAAAAATAATTATAACGAAGGCAACAAAGGTTACATAGTATTCTTTACTTTAGTTACATGTGTTACATTATGAGTATTATAAAACTCTCATTTGTTTAATTTTAGAGGGATCCCTGTGTGGGTTCACAATCTACCTGGTGTGGAGATTCGGACGGCAAATAAAGTGTACATGGTAAAAAAAATTGTACTTTTTAACTTATTGTACTTTTTAACTTGCTATAATATTTTTGGTGATATATATTCAAAATTAATCATATCAATTTTATTTTGGGATTCACAGAATGAGATGCAAAACTTTACTACTCTGATTGTGGATATGGTCAGAAAAGAGAAACTATTTGCTTCTCAAGGGGGTCCCATAATTTTATCTCAGGTAGTGTATTTGTTTTTTGTAGTAAATTTAATTGTTAATGATATATATATCACACACATACACGTACATTATAATAATAAGATAAGGCTTCTTATTCTATCTTGAAATTATGAGTTTTTTAATTGATTTTTAATGATAAAAAAAAAAAAAAAAGATCGAGAATGAATATGGCAATGTGATGTCGACTTATGGAGATGCTGGCAAAGCTTATATAGATTGGTGCGCCAACATGGCAGAGTCCTTCAACATTGGGGTTCCATGGATCATGTGCCAACAATCCAATGCACCTCAACCCATGGTAATTTTAATGCTTTGTATTAATGTTATATAGTTTTTATTTCTTTCTTGAAGCTAATGATTTTTTTATTTTAATTGAATGTTAGATCAATACTTGCAATGGTTGGTATTGTCACGACTTCAAGCCCAATAACGCTAACAGCCCTAAGATGTGGACCGAAAATTGGGTTGGATGGTAGGTTTAAATACATGTTTGACTTGGTCAACTTTTTGATCTTCAAAACATTTTTGCCTTGGCTTTATGAGTTTTTGTTATTAAATTTATTTTGTAATTCTCAATTACTTTTCTTCTACTCCAAGGTTCAAGAATTGGGGTAGCAGAGATCCACACAGAACTGCTGAAGATGTTGCCTATGCTGTGGCAAGGTTTTATCAAACCGGAGGCACATTCCAAAACTACTATATGGTAAATAATTCAACTTATTAACCTAACCAAGTAATCATAGTGGTTTTCTTAGTTTTTTGGGTTCCAATATTTGATCATTGGAAAACTTAATAGGGCGATTGACACAGTATACAACTACTCTTAGTTATTAATTTTCTTTATGTTCAAATAATGAAACTGTATCTTTTATACAATTATTATAGAAACATATTTCATCCATGTTCATAGATAACTTTATATATTTTTTTTTTTCTCCAGTATCACGGTGGGACTAATTTTGGCAGAACAGCTGGTGGTCCATACATTACTACTACATATGATTACGATGCTCCTCTAGATGAATATGGTAATTGCATTTATTTCCATCATGAACTTTTCATAAAATAAACGTATCACTGAGTACGTGAATCAACTGATGTAGAGTGGTTTCAGTTTAATGAATGATTTCAAATTCGAGTCTCGGATAACCATTTTCTTTTGTAATTTGCAGGAAACATTGCCCAGCCAAAATGGGGTCACCTCAAAGAACTTCACTTGGTTCTGAAATCAATGGAGAACAGTCTCACCAATGGAAACGTATCCGAAACTGATCTTGGCAACTCTGTAAAGGTAAAATGAATACTACCAAACACAACACATAAAAATTCGCTGACTATGATTTTTTTTTTTAACTAGTTATTATGATACACAATTTCAACTTGTAGGCTACTATCTATGCCACAAAAGATTCATCAAGCTGCTTCTTGACCAACACCAACACCACCTCTGATGCCACTGTAACATTCAGAGGAAATAAATATAATGTTCCTGCTTGGTCTGTGAGCCTTCTTCCTGATTGTCGAACTGAAGAGTACAACACAGCAAAGGTAACCTTTTACTTTATTTTTTTTATAATAATATTGTTGGTGTATGAATGTGAATAAGAGTCTCGCATTATATTAAGGAACATGTAACTAAAAAAGACCATAAATCTAATGTTTTAAAGTTTCAGATTAAGATATAGTATCAAATTTATTTGTGTTGTTTACTAATAATAATTCATTGATAGAGTTTTTTTTCAATGTTTAACTACTTATGTTCTCAACAAATATTTAGCAGATGCTAGCTAGATAATTTTGTTTCCTATGATCAATAATAGTGTTCTCAATTGGTCCATATATATTTTTTCATGATCAGGTGAATGTTCAAACCTCCCTCATGGTAAAGGGAAAAACCAAAGCTGAAGATGAACCAACAGCTTTGAAGTGGGTGTGGAGAGCTGAGAACATTGATGATGCTCTCCTTGGCAAAGGAAATTTCTCTGCAAATATACTCATTGATCAAAAAAGAGCTGCTGCTGATGATAGCGACTATCTTTGGTACATGACAAGGTAATTGATCATGCCATGCCCTCTTAATTTTCTCTCTTCTTTTGTTCCTCTGTTCAAAAGTTGCTAATACTTTTTCTTTTCAATGCTAGACTTGATCTTAATCAAAGTGATCCAATTTGGTCAGATGATATATCTCTTAGGATTAGTGGCACTGGCCATGCGATTTATGCATTCATCAATGGAGAACATATTGGTAATATTATGTTGCATACATAGATACATTGATATATGATAACTATAGTTGTTTCAAAATTTTGTTTAATAATAACACGATCTCTCTTTGGTTGATGGATTTAGGCTCCCATTGGGCCACATATGGCATTCGACACGATAAATTTGAAACTAAGATTAAATTGAAGCCCGGAAAGAATATTATCAGCCTGCTTAGTGTCACCGTTGGACTTCAGGTATCACAGATTAATAGACCATAGGATTGAATCATGCATGAAACATTTACAATAGTTGTTAATTGTTATGTTAATGTATGATAATGTGTGGAACAGAACTATGGGGAAAACTATGATAAATGGCAAGCTGGTCTTGTTGGGCCCATTGAGGTAATTGGTAGAAAAGGTGATGAAACCATCGTCAAAGATCTTTCCAAATACAAATGGACATACAAGGTTGGGTTGCATGGTTGGGATAACAAATTTTTCAGTGAAGACTCGCCCTATGCTTCTGCTTCCAAATGGGAATCTGACCTACCCATAAACAGGAAGTTCACTTGGTACAAGGTAAATTGCTTCCTTTAATTCTTTGGTTGAACTAATTAATTAATTAATAATAATGTGTTTATAATTGTTAGACCACTTTCAAAGCTCCTCTAGGGTCAGACCCTGTTGTTGTGGATTTGCAAGGAATGGGAAAAGGTTATGCTTGGGTGAATGGTCAAAATCTTGGTCGCATGTGGCCTAGTTATAACGCAATGGAGGAAGGTTGTAGTGATGAGCCTTGTGACTACCGTGGCGAGTACAGCGACAAAAAATGTGTTTCCAATTGTGGCAAGCCCACACAAAGATGGTAATTGCTTAATTAATTGGTTCTAGTAGTTAATTACTTACTTTATTTTATCACAACATGTAATGTGGTTTTTGAAATAATTCAGGTACCATGTCCCTCGGTCCTTTATTAAAGATGGTGTGAACACATTGGTGTTGTTTGAGGAAATTGGTGGGAATCCATCACTAGTGAATTTCCAAACAATTTTTGTTGGGACTGCTTGTGGAAATACTCGAGAGAATAAGACTTTGGAATTGTCATGTCATGGACGTCCCATTTCGGATATAAAGTTCGCAAGTTTTGGCAACCCACAAGGCGAATGTGGAGCATTTACTAAGGGAAGTTGCGAAAGCAAAAGTGAGGCTTTGTCCATTGTACAAAAGGTGAGATTTTCATCATTTTTTATTTGTTTCTTCCTATAGTTATGTGCATAATATGATGATGAATTAAGTTGATTCATTTTTGGGTAATTTTATAGGCATGTGTGGGCAAGGAATCGTGCTCAATTGAGGTTTCAGAAAAATCATTCGGAAAAACAAGTTGTGGAGATGTGGTTAAGAGGCTCGCTGTTGAAGCAGTTTGTTGAGTAGATTAGGGTGCACAGTTTGTTAAGTAGATTAGGGTGATCAATTTTAGGTGCAATTTAGTTTATATTGTGGTTTTCAAAAAAAAATGTTATTAATTAGCTCTATGTTAGCATTTACACTTGAGACTCGCAAGATTTTTTTAATTATAAATAAAGTTTAGAGGCCTTTATTTTAGTATTCTCCGATTTTGATTCACTTTATTTGCTGAGAAGAGCCAAATTCCATATCCTAAAACTCGGTGGTACTACACACTAGAATTAGCAGCGAATCCTAGCATTGTTTCATTCGTGATGGAGATATGAAGACTTTTTAAGTGAAATTGTTTTTTAAAATACATAAATAACGATGTATTTATCTCTAAATTTTAGTAAAGTTATAATATACTTTTAATTAAATCAATGTGACTTTATTTTTATTTTTTATTTTTCAAATTGAAGACATAAAAGTATGTGAAAAGTAGAACTTGACATTATACATAAAAGTATGAAGACATAAATTAAGGCATAAATGATTAAAAACCTCGTTTAAACATATTTACAGTTATTGATTGAATTTTATAGAAAATTACAAATTTTTGTTGTTTCTACATATTATTTAATGTGTTTTTCATAATTTTTTTTATTTTTCAATATCAAATGATATAATAGGAATAATAATCTCTACTTTTTTACATAATTTTTTTTCTCTCTATTAAACATAAATAAGTTATTAAAGGTTCACACTTGTGCTCCTTAATTAAGGATGAGAGTTCAATTTCCATCTTAAATACAAAGTTATGACTAGAAATACTATATATTTTACACTTATAAGGGCTACACCAAGGACTGTCAAAATGGGTTTAAATTCATTCCCATCTCCATAAGTTTTATTAGGTTTGGATAGACTCCTAGAGAACGTGTCATATTTATATATAGCTTCAATTAATTTATATATTTTCAAAAATTATATATTAAGTTATTAATAATGTATTAATTCAGATATTATATAAAAAATTAATTAGCAACAAAGAGCTTAAAAAATAATATTATATTTTTAGTTAAATGCATAATTTTAAATTTATTATTTACTTATTATTATTATAACTTAATTAAATTATTTAACTAAGAGAATATACATTTGACCGTAGGAATATACAGAAATTTAAATTATTTTCAAAGATATCATTCGTCATAAGTTCATGTTGCGTGTCTTAGGCGCCTTCGGTGTATGTTCTCGTATATAAAAAAAAATGTATTTAAAAAGTATATATTTAAAACAATTGAATTTGACTCTTTGTGAAGAAAACAATTGAATTCATTGACAACAAATAATGGAGGTAAAATGACTAAACCCGATGTAATGAAAATTAGCGACATAGTAAGTGCCTATCACTTGTGTGATTCCATTCAAGAAATATACGGTATACTAGGTTTTCAATTTCCCAACTACATGGTGTTAGTAATACACTACTCACTTTTTGGTTAGAATTTATTGATAATTGTAAAATGGAAGAGATAAAAATTGTTAATGTATAGAATAAGTTTATAAAATTTAAAAAAAAATAAAAATTATTTGATATTTTGTTATATAAATTCAAGTTATGGTAAAAAAAATATATTTTTAGGATTATCTGTTAATTTAAATTAATGAAATAGAGTATCAAATAATTTTTAATTTTTTTAAAAAATTATAATTTTGATTTATGTATTAAAAAATTTTAATTCAACAGTTAAATTTTGAAAATTTGATGTAGAACATGACTTACTTCACTCTATAACATGTGCTCTATATCAAATTTTAACTATCAAATTGTTGAATTAAAAGTTTTGAATGCATAAATTAAGTTTTCAAATTTTTAAAAATTTGAAAACTATTTGAGACTCCATTTTTATTAATTCAAATTAACATATAAAATATTTATACATTATTCATCAATTTGAATTAATGAAATGAAACATCAAATAATTTTTAAATTTTTAAAAATTTTACATACTTGATTCATGCATTAAAGCTTTTAATTTAACAGTTGAATCGTTAAAATTTAATGTAGAACATGAGTTATCAAGTAGAGTGAGTCTAAAGAATAAGTGGATCCCTCTTCTCTCTTTATTCACTTACTCCAAAAGTAAGTTTTGGTAAACTTATTTCACTCAATAACTTATAATCTACATTGACTTTCAATAATTCAATTGTTAATTTAAAAGTTCTTAATGTATGGATCAAGTTTACAAAATTTTAGAAAAAAATAAAAATCATATGATACTTCGTTTCATTAAATCAAATTGGCGAGTAAAATACTTTTATGATTATCTATCAATTTGAATTACTGTAACAAAGTATCAAAGTTTTCAATTTTTGGAAAAAAATTACAGATTTAATTTATGCATTAAGAAGTTTTAATTTAATAGTTACATTGGTAAAACTTAATGTAGATGATGAGTTATTGAGTGAAATAAGTCCACCAAGACTTATTCTTGGAATAAGTGAATCCCTCATCATATATATATATATATATATATATAGGAGGGTTCAAACGACACCAGTGTAACTTTTACAAAGTGTTACACCGCTCAATAACTTTATATTAAATGTGAATTTTGAAAATCCAACCGTTAGATTGAAAGTTCATATCTCTTAGATCATATATGTCAAATTTTATATTAATCTAAGATGATTTGATACTTCATTCTCATAAAATAAAATTGACGTAATATATACATTTCAAAATATACTAAAATATGAACGTTTTGATTACCTTCAAGTTGTTGTTCAATTTTAATAAAATTTGACATATATGATCTAAGAGATATGAACTTTCAATCTAACGGTTGGATTTTCAAAATTCACATTTAATATAAAGTTATTGAGCGGTGTAACACTT